TTCCAATGAAACAACGAACATACTTTTTTGCAGCTTTTTAAAAAGAAAAGAAAAATCAGATAGATTGGTCAATCTTTGATGTCTATGTTGTGTAGTAAAGCGAAAGTAACCTCATAGTTAAGGACAGAATCAATGATATTATGAATGGAATTAGCGTTCGTTGACTCTGTTTATGAATTAGGTTGTTTGAATCTCAGTATAAAGTTTATTTACTGAACTTCCATCATTATTTATGGTTTACATGGTAACATGGTGTTTACGTCCTTACTAAAGCACTTATGTTTGACGATGTTATTGATAGATGTAATCTGAACTACCTATTTCGAAAGAATGTATTGACTTAAAAAAATGCCTATCTTCCATACCGGTATGACTGTTCGTTGAAAAATTTAACACAATTGATTAATCATTTGGTGGTGATCAATGTCATGCGTGTCAATTGTTATTACATCTCAGTCCTACAGGAGGTCAGTCGCGGCTCAGATAGCTCAGTGGTAAGGTCGTCTGTGACTGTGAAGCTGGGTGACACGAGATCGAGTCCTCCAGGGAGCATCAGTTCCATTAAGATTACAGGTACACCTTGCTGACGAGTGCAAGTAGCACGAAACCTAGGTTCAGGGTTTCTGTCGACTACCTCCAACCACCATCTAAAAATTTAACATTACAAAATCAAGAGATATAAAGTAAATCAATGGACTATATTTTGAACGTGTATCATCTGAGTTAGTTATTAATTCTGATCCATCCATCACTTGCATAAACAGATAATAGTAAAAAAAGCAAAATCTCTAAATGTTTACAACATAATAACACGTTTATGTTTACTTAGTTCGATAACAATACGTCCTTTTTTAGATGATGATGATTAGGGGATTCGGTCTTCCGCTATCTGATAGAGTGGATTTTAAATGCTTAATCTTTATACACAACTTGACATGTAAGTTGTTGATGATCTAATAATTAAAGCAAACAGTTAATTCATTTGGATCGGGTTCAAATAATTGTAATGAATATAATTAAATATTCATATCAGATTAACTGATGTTAGTGAATAATTTATCCTACTTACTTACGCCTGTTACTCCTCGTGAAGGAGCATAGACCGCCCACCATCACACTCCATCCAACCCTGTCCTAGGCAATCCTTTTCAGCTCTTTCTAGTTGTTATTCATCCTTTTCATATCTGATTCTATTTCCTGACGTAACGTGTTCTTTGGCCTTCTTCTTTTCCACTTTCCTTCAGGATTCCAAGTTTGGGCTTGCTCGTGAAGATGTTACAATCAATTAGATGGTCAGTACTTAATAACGAGAAAAATGAGGACACGATTACTAAAAGTTTGATTACTTATAGCTTGATAAAAGAAGTCTAAAATAGAGAAGTTATTCACAAAAATTGTAATAATGATTGTACTGTGTTATGCCCCGATAAGAATAAGGAATGGTAATATACTAAACGTATATTTCTATTGTATCATTATTCAGTAACTAAACTATACATATTCATATTCCTCTTATTATGAGTTTTATTTTGACCTATGAACTATTATTATACGATTTACCTTTCTTGAATTATTCCCTGTCTATTAATCACTACCTCCCTCATTCACAGCCACATTTGGCCAAATTTTGTACAAATGTTATTTTCTATTTTTTGGTACATTGTGGTCTGTTTGATTGGTATATAAACTCAGTATGTTCGAAATATAATGATTCATATCGCAGAGGCTGAGATGGGCGTTCCGGACTTAACTGGCTGGGCTAGGAGGAAAGCAGGACCAATCAGGACTTTAGGCTGCTTGCACGTGTTTTACGCGTCCTTGGTCCGATCGATAAATCACTGTTCTCTAATCGGCGGTCACAAGATGTAGCATACTGTTATGGTGGTAACCATTTCGGTTGTAACAAGGATGATGTTCTAGGTTTATAATGCTTGTATATATGTTTTATTAATGAATCTGCTATAAGATTTCTTATCGTTTTTTTATTGAATTATTTATTATAATCATAGAATTACATTCATTAATCAATGAGCTTCGATAAAAACTTCAATTTGGAATTGAATTAAATTGACTACTAAATGATAAACGTTTTACACTTAAATCAAATGAGTTAGTCCTACGTTTTATAAATATTGAAGATTTATTAACTTGATAATTGTGAATTGTTTTTATGAGTAGGCAATGAACCTAAATAAATACTTTACTGGATTACTAAAATTCATCATTAGGAGATTACCGACAGTAGAACTTGAAAGGAAATTAAAGTGTTGGGAAAAGAGTAGTAACACTAATAAACTACCTCTTTCTATGAACTGAATGGATAGGATCACGATTTTTATATTTATGGTCTTGTGATAATAATCTATTCGTTTACATTGAATTGCTGTTTTTTTTTGGGGGGGGGGAGGAGGGATAATTAATTATATTCACATACTACTGATATCATCTTTGCTTTTAGGATAGCTTGTTAGTAGTTTATTGTAAATAACAGTACAAACATTGTCTAGCTTAAATATATTTCACTTAAATTTACTTTACGTGAAAATCATATGAAAGCAAATAGTTTAAATAGCAAGTTGAGTTTAATATAGTTTACAAAATAAAACAAACAAACAAACAAACTAATCCTGTGCTAAATGCCCCCAAATGCCCTGGTATGGCCGAGAGTGGGGTGGGTCCGCCCTCCCTCTCGAAATACTCTCACACGTCCACGCGTATACAGCCCCTGCCACGGAAGTCCTAATCAAGGCCTTCTCGTGGCATTACTGTTGTTTACGAAAATGTGAGGACGAAAAGCGAATGCCCGGCGCTTTAACCGGATTCCAAACCAATGATGTACATGGGCTCCAGTATCCTGCGGGATTAAATGACGTCTGAACCAGTTGTTGGTCACCGGCTACCATGGGAAAGCATCTCCCCACGATGCTCTACTGCCTTGTGGATCAGACCTTTAGGTCAAAGGCTCGGGTGTGGCCCTCTAAGAAAACCACCTGTTTTCGGTCTGGGCACCCGGGGCAGTATCACAGCCCCCACACACACAAATATGGTGTGGCGCATATCTACTTGGTGCCCTCTTGTACCAATATTTATGTGTTGAAATAAATAAATAATAATTGGTTCATTTGTAAAGTATAAATAATCAGATAGAATAATGTGAGAACGAATAAAGTAGACAAAAAATTACTGAGATCTATAATCAAGGTAATAAAGTCTACCACCAAGTTGTTAAAAATAAAAGGAAAAAATAGTACAATGTGTCTGTCCACATACATTTTGCTGGTGAATAATATATATTAAGGATCTTTAGGCACGTTTCCTATTGTAACGATCAATGTCCAGAGTTTGAATCTCTAATCTGATCAAAGGTTTCCCTTTACTATAGATATATTATATTATTATTACATTATATTATTATAAGCTTTATTCAATATGATGTTTTTGGTAAAATATGGAATTCTCAACACAAAGTATTTCAACAAGTCATCGTTTTTTAATTCTTGGCCGATCCTGACGATAAATATTGAGTGATCGCCAGTTAGATGTTAGCAGTTCAGTGAATGAATATCTGAATAATGTGCATTCTTTTCTCTATAAATTGCCAGCGACTACATTATCTCTTATTGGGTTTTTTATAACTTTGACAACGAAAGGTTGTACACTTTTCAGAAATGCACCAGGATAGCTTATGCGATGAATAACATAATGACATATATTAAAACAAACAAAAAATAGATAACTTGTTGAAATATTTAGATGACAGGAATAGGTAGCCCAGATGCTCGAACAGGCCGCGAGTGTACTGTCAAATTTCGAAAGTGAAAAAATATTTGATACAAGGTTTTCTGTCTTTCGTAAGGAATAAATTTGTAATTCAGTCACTGCCAGGGAAGTCCAACTCAATGCCTTTTCACTGCGGGAGTGTTGTTTACGAAATTGAGAGGATGAAAAGTGAATGTCTGGCGCTTTAACTGGGTCAAAGGACATGGAAAGTCCACCTGGGGGAGTTGGATGATGTTGATTTTAAACGAATGGTGCACATGGGCTCAAGTATCCTGAAGGAAAAAATGGTGTATGAACCATTATTGGTCACTAGCTACCATAGAACTGCATCAGCTTACGTTGCTCTATTGCCTTGTGGATTAGACCTTGAGGTTAAAGGCTCGGAGTGTGATCCTTAAAAAACCGCCTGGTTAGAAGTGGACACCCGGTCAGTATCATAACCCACACACAAATCAAGTGACTTGTATGGAGTATATGTATTCGATGATCCTTTGTACTAATATTTATGTGTTCAAATAAATATAATCTTGTAATTCATTTTAAAATATAATTCACTCTTATAGTTATAGAGAATTACTGAAAATCTGGAGAATGGATTATAACAGTATATATTTAAGCATTACATTCCTAATTTCGTAAACAATATCTTATTGAAACCAGTATAAGACATAGATCTTAATCTATGAAAATCATTGAATGTAATAGTGATAGCTGAATATTGAATACCATATAAGACTATTATGAAAATCTATTGAACGTCATTAAAATGTATAATTACATGAAAATATCGTTTATGTAGTATTCGTCTATTATCTTGTATAAAATGAATAATTTTTTCTCTAGTTAGTGTTTTTTTAGCGAGTTAGTTTTCTACGGGATGGGGTCACTAACTCCATGTCCAACCCTCCTCCTTTATCCGGGCTTGGACCGGCAATAGCCCCCGGAGGTACTCCAGGCGGAGTGCATTGGAGAATGCTGGTCGGCAGCCTATGCTCCATTGGGAGTAACGGGCGTAAAACCTAAGACCTAATCTTGTATCAAATACATTGAGTTGGTTACATAGACTCTCAAATTAAAAACTAAAATAAGCGATTCGTGGACCTCTTTGCAGGTTTCGATACACTTTTTTAAACATAGAGAATTATTCTTTTATCGAAATTTAATGACGAATATTTATAATCAACCATATTCTGATTCATTAATTCGATAAGAATGTTCAAATGGTTCTTAATTTATTCATGAATTCGTCTGTACTTTCTTATGGTAGTAAATCAATAAACTCAGTCTTAACTTAACTTACGCCTGTTACTCCCAATGGAGCATAGGCTGCCGACCAGCATTCTCCAGCCCACTCTGTCCTGGGCATTCCTTTCTAATTCCATCCAATACTTGTTCATTTTTCTCATGTCTATCTCCATTTCCCGGCCTAATGAATTCTTCGGTTTTCCTCCTTTCGTTGGCCTTGAGGATTCCATTTGAGGAGTTGCCTTGTGACTCAATTGGGTAGTTTCCTCAATGTGTGTCCTATCCACTTCCAGTGCTTCTTCCTAATTTCTCCCTCCACTGGAATCTGGTTTGTTCTCTCCCATAGTAGGTTGTTAAATAAATTCTGTAAGATGACTTAATTGACAACTTTATTGAACAGTTAAAAATGACTGACTATTTCATGTTAAGTTTATTTTTTTTTAGTTTCGTGCATAATAATCCATAATTTATTATTGTTTCTTGATGTTATGATGTATGCTACTGATCTCGATAGATATAAGTAGTATGTATCATCAATCGAAAATAAAATGCCTAATGATAGACAGTTAAGATCAAAGAAAAGGGAATGAGAACACAGAATAATTGATACGGAAATGAGAGAATAATAAAGTTTGAGACAATTAATTGATGTTTTGCAAATGAACTATTATTTACTGTATGATTGTCAGATTTCAGCAAGAGATTCTATAATTGCTTGTCCGATTACATTTGGTTACTATAAAATATACGAATCTTATAGATTACTGATATGCTGGAATATTTTTCATATATGTGATTTCCTCCTAATTATTAATCAAAATGGGTGTATAATCAATATATAAATGAGTGTATTTTCTACTAGAGTTGTCGTCGTCATCGTGTTTTGGGGTTAATAAATTATCACTTATACCAGTCTTTGTGTACTTAATTTCGCGTCGTGGGAATTGCATAGGTCCCTCATTCCGAGTATAAGTGATCGGGGTTTTTCCGACATAACAATCAACGACGACCAGATACAAAAAGTAGCATGAAATAGTCAAGATAATAAGGATTCAAACGACAAATTATAACAATTACTTTTTAATATTCTAATCCGTTAATTGAATAATAATGAATTATTATATGATCAGTTATTAATCATAACACGGACCATATATCATCATCATCATCATCATCATCATCATCATCATCATCATCATCATCATCATCATCATCATCATCATCATCATCATCATCATCATCATCATCATCATCATCATCATCATCATCATCATCATCATCATCATCATCATCATCATCATCATCATCATCATCATCATCATCATCATCATCATCATCATCATCATCATCATCATCATCATCATCATCATCATCATCATCATCATCATCATCATCATCATCATCATCATCATCATCATCATCATCATCATCATCATCATCATCATCATCATCATCATCATCATCATCATCATCATCATCATCATCATCATCATCATCATCATCATCATCATCATCATCATCATCATCATCATCATCATCATCATCATCATCATCATCATCATCATCATCATCATCATCATCATCATCATCATCATCATCATCATCATCATCATCATCATCATCATCATCATCATCATCATCATCATCATCATCATCATCATCATCATCATCATCATCATCATCATCATCATCATCATCATCATCATCATCATCATCATCATCATCATCATCATCATCATCATCATCATCATCATCATCATCATCATCATCATCATCATCATCATCATCATCATCATCATCATCATCATCATCATCATCATCATCATCATCATCATCATCATCATCATCATCATCATCATCATCATCATCATCATCATCATCATCATCATCATCATCATCATCATCATCATCATCATCATCATCATCATCATCATCATCATCATCATCATCATCATCATCATCATCATCATCATCATCATCATCATCATCATCATCATCATCATCATCATCATCATCATCATCATCATCATCATCATCATCATCATCATCATCATCATCATCATCATCATCATCATCATCATCATCATCATCATCATCATCATCATCATCATCATCATCATCATCATCATCATCATCATCATCATCATCATCATCATCATCATCATCATCATCATCATCATCATCATCATCATCATCATCATCATCATCATCATCATCATCATCATCATCATCATCATCATCATCATCATCATCATCATCATCATCATCATCATCATCATCATCATCATCATCATCATCATCATCATCATCATCATCATCATCATCATCATCATCATCATCATCATCATCATCATCATCATCATCATCATCATCATCATAGAAAACAAACAAACAAACAAAAAAGAATCAGATTTACATCATTTACAATTTAGAGATGATTTAGTTTCTTTTTCTTTGGTTGGTTGTTTGCTTGTTTACCATTTACTCAATTTGATTCATTATTTTGGGTGGATTCACATCAATCAATATGGATTACAATTTTCCTTTCTTAATGTTTTTAATTATCCTCAAAAAAACTTTTTTTTTGTTTTGAAAAATCGAGTTTCATTGGAATGTGACTGTTTTTGTTTGTTTGTTTACAGATGAATTTGATTATCATGAATACTATTTTATGTATAAACCCCTTTATCAAAGAATAATGAATAAACTTATGGAGATCACTATATCGGTCGTACTACCAGCAACTTAACCAACGAATGAGTGAACATCATCTATCAGCGTGGTTTCTAAAGGGCCAGATGAAAACCAAAAAAAAGAACAAAAAAAAGAAAAAAAGAAAAATTAACGTTAAATGACTAAAAAGCTAAAGTGAGAAAAATTTCGTAATTGTGGCAATTATAATAATCACTTTAGTCCATGCAAACATTTATGAAAGTACTAATAGGATAGTGAATAGATTTTTTTTTAGAACGATCATATCTATAGTGTTAGTTACTAAGTTCATATGAACTTATTCTAGATTTTGGACAAATTGATTCATTCTTTTTTTATTGAGATCATGAACCGATTGATGTTGGACCACCACAATTGAAAACCTGGAAGCACTGGACGGCCGTTTCGTCCTATTGTGGGACTCCTCAGCAGTGCGCATCCACGACCCCGCTCGCGAGATTCGAACCCAGGGCCTTCGACCTCGTGTGCGAACGCTTAACCAACTGGACCACTGAGCCGGCATCCAATGGTGATAGTTTCTAACATCAACCAATCCACGAAATTGCGCGACTATCTTCCATAGTACTGAGGTAGATACCTGTTTTTACCCGACAAGGATTAGCTCCACTGGTCACGGCTTCTCACTAGAACTTCGAGAATTCCCTCACGAAGCTAGTCACTAGTGAGCACATGTTGATTACTAGTATAGGGGTTGTGAAGATTATTAAGTTTTTGATTTATTCTTATTCTTCTTGAGTTACATTTTGATCATGTTCATTATTCACTTACCAACTTTCACATGAGCATATCTGTATGTACATTTCTTATCCTATTCATTACATTTTTTGTAACCTATTATTTATCTACTTATAAATATTGATTAATGCTTGATGAAATAGGAGTTGGGTCATTTTCCTTCCCCATGGTACATCATTTCATTTCACTTTGTTCATGTGATCGTCTCCTTGGATTAATGATTGTACAAAATCTACATATTCAAAAGTTCATTCTCGTATTTGACTTGTTTTAACTCCGTTTATTCACTAACTTGAATTAACTCGATAATTATATATATAAGAGGATAACAAGAATGTATATTTCGACAATCATCATTCATATGATCTAATTGAATTCAGATATATGGTCACTAAATATATTCACAGAATACGAATAAAAACTAAGCAAAAACAAAAAGAATAACATAAATTCACTTTATTTCGTTTCATCCTCATCAGCTGCTTACAACCTGTGATATTTAAAATCATAATTACAAAATCATTTTAGATTATTTACATTAAAAGAGTTTAGTTGGAAGTTATTTAGAAGAAACATCAGTCTAGTATGGTAAGGGTGTAAATAAATTTCATAGACTAAATAAAGTATTGTCATCATCGATGAACATGGTGGGTCTAACGCGGATGTGAAAGCGCGGATCGGTAAAGCAAGAGCAGCATATTTACAACTGGAGAACATCTGGAACTCAAAGCAACTGTCAACCAACACCAAGATCAGGATTTTCAATACAAATGTCAAGACAGTTCTACTGTATGGGGCAGAAACCTGGAGAACTACGAAAGCCATCATCCAGACGATACAAGTGTTTATAAACAGTTGTTCACGCAAAATACTTCGGATCCGTTGACCAGACACTATTAGCAACAACCTACTGTGGGAGAGAACAAACCAGATCCCACCGGAGGAAGAAATTAGGAAGAAGCACTGGAAGTGGATAGGACACACATTGAGGAAAGCATCCAAATGAGTCACAAGACAAGCCCTCAAATGGAATCCTCAAGGACAAAGGAAAAGAGGAAAACCAAAGAATTCATTAGGCCGGGAAATGGAGATAGACATGAGAAAAATGAACAAGAATCGAACAGAACAGGAAAGGAAGGCCCAGAACAGAGTGGGCTAGAGAATGCTGATAGGCGGCCTATGCTCCACTAGGAGTAACAGGCGTAAGTAAATAAATAAATAAATAAAGTATTGTAAATCTATCCCTTATGTAGAAGAAAATTTTACAACATTGATTGTAAAAAGAGTTCAAAGGACTAGAGATAAGTAATTACATAATGAGTAAAGGCTAGTAAGAATGAGTAAAGTTCAGTTCATAAAATAACTTTACTAGTCTGAGAGATCGTCGGAATAAAAAGACGTAATAATGTGATTAAATAAGAGTTGAAAAAAGTTTTTAAGATGTAATGAAGGAATACCTACGAGACTATAATTAATGCACGAACCAATCACATTTAAGATAGCAAATCTTGGATTTCGATGCGGAATTCATTCATTCATTTGGTTAAATACCATTTTGGCATTATATCTGATATCAGTTCATGATGAAAACATTAAATGTAATTCCTCACCCTAACATTCAACTGTAAATTTTAATACTAATTCCTTCATACTATTCTATAAGCCTCATTTAACCCTGGTAAGAAGGTGAACATCCCAAGGTCATTCTAGTGTTGCTCAAGAGTAGTCGATAAATTATAGTATTACCGGAATATTTATCATCAAGACAAGGAAAGATTAACAACCATCTCCTTTTGAACATATAAATCAGGTTTTTGACGCCTGATAGTAACGGTTTCAACAAACTTCAGAAGACTGAAGTTTGACTGCTTATTAATCACTTTGAAAGATTACAAGGTATTGGTCCGATGTCTTGTATTCATGAGATGTTTGGTAACTATAAGGAGTGTAAAATCATCTCATTTAACACTGGCTTTCAATCATTGTAGAGATGTTTCAGTATAAACATAGTGTCCAGTTAGTATATAATCAACCTTAATAATAATTGCCTGTTTTTGTTCATAGTAAAATCTTTGCTGAAATTTTGTTCCCCTAAATGGTTGTTTTAATTGTGAGTCCTTTCTTATCTTTCGAGAAACCACTGTTGACACAAGTCTCAGAAAGAAGTGAGGTATTTGGATTTCTCTACAATTATCTAACATCTTATTTGTCAATTCTAAATTGAATAGGATATTGTCAAAAATTGTTCTACTCTAGTTTAAATTTTTTGTTCGACAGTCTTCACTTTGATTGGTAATTTAGATTTATTTCAATTTGCTTATTAATTACTAACTGAACTGAATGTTATGCTTTTAGAAATTCTCTGATCTTCTTTATGTCACCCCCCCCTATACAAGATTTCAGCGTTTTCGCAATTGTCAACACATACTGGTATAATCGATGAATTGGTGTTAAGTTTACCAGCTGATCGTTTTTTTTATTAGTCAGAAATGAATGGATCTCACAATTGATTGATCACTGGGTGGTGATCAATGTCATGTGTGTCAAGTCCTTATTTAGTGCAGATCGAATGCTATCGACAAGTCCTACATGAGGTCATTTGTGGCCCAGATAGCTCAGTGGTAACGTCTGTGACTGTGAAGCTGGGTGACACGGGATTGAATCTGCCAGGGAGCACCAGTTCCCTCAAGATCACAGGTGCACCTTGCTGACGAGTACCAAAAAGCACGAAACCCGGGTCCAGAGTTTCCTGTCGACTACCTCCAATCACCATCTAATGAATGGATCTCACTGCTTCTCATCAAAGATTGACAGAACTAGCTGTTAGACATCTGTTGAAAAGTAATAATTACTCAAAATTTTCTGAATTGATGATAATGTTGTCTAGGAAGATATTAAATGTTTCATGATAATATCACTCAGTTCAAAGAGCCTAGTTTCACTAAAATAATTCTCCTGAGTTATCAACTATTTTCGTCATCTCAACAGCAAGGCCTGTTTGACAAGATATAATACATATTTCATATGTCTGTTCCATTAATGAATTTCATTATCCATCAATTTTATTTGGAGATTTACTTAGATATGTCAGTCATTTTACATACTATATAAACAACAGTTAACTAAATAGTTTTTTCTAGGTTGAAATATGACTGGAAGTCGTTAGTACTTCTTCAAATGTGATATGGAGAGTGGAGAGTGCTTGTGGGCGACCTATGCTCCTCTATGAGGGGTAACAGGAGTAAGTAAGTAAGTAAGTGAGATATGACAAGTATCCTTTTACATTATTCTATTAATTTTACATCTCATTTGAACAACACCATTACAATCAGTTCTTGATCAAATCTACAGTTGATACTTTCGAATTGAATGCCTTCTACATATCGGTGTATGTTGATATTACGCAAACTCTTAGGTAGTTTTACATCTAATCAACTGAGTTTTTCACCGTCAACTTTAGAACTTAATGGTATTTGGATGCATAAATCTTAATTAAAGTGATCAGCGTTTGATTTATCCTCAATTGTAGATTGTTTTTCAAAAATTATTCACATACGAAACCAAGTTATGAAACCGGCAATCGTTTTGTTTGAATATACACCATCAAACTAATCAGTTTGAAGGTAGTATGAATCAGGTACTTATCCACTGCAGATTTCTGAGTGACAATCAAATCACGAACTGTGTATTCGAAAGCAGCATTTTCAACCTCTCAGTTTGCTATAGACCTTATCAAACATTATTTTGCATAATTATTGACCACTTATTATTATCACTAAGTTCTCTTCATATTTGTTAAACTGGGATTTCTCTCCTGTGCTTCATATCTATAAAACATCGTCATCAACCTTTAGACTAATAAGAAGTACATCGATTGGCATACGATTTGAATATAGGGATACATCCCACCAC